CTCGAATTTCCCTGAAATCAATCGACGGCAATGGCGTTAAAAATTGCCGTAGAACATAACAGCTGTCTACGCCAATTTTGGCAGTTTCCACGGCATTTTTTCAAATTTCTGTAATAAAAATTTAATTTTATTGTTACTTTGGATTGCTGACAAGCTAGAAACATATTTACGTATTTCTTTAATTAGACGTACTAAAATAGTAGTTTACGCATGATTTGATCAACATCTGAATTCAAGTATCAAAATGGTAATGCACAGTGAATAGTTTAAAAATTATACTATACGGCAAGAAATTGCCGTCGTTGCCGCAATGAATGATCCACGGCATTTTGTTCTCCCTCTACGGCAATTGCCGCGATAAAATTCAAGCCCTGACTGTGAGTCTGTGACGTTTTTTTTATAACCAGTCCCACTTAATCATGTTAGCAATCTCGTCCCCCGAGCTTGCGATTCTCGGGAAGGAACGCGAGGCTCTGGCCCGCCAGGGATAATCCGTTGCCGGAAGATTCCTCCCTAAAACGGATTATCCCAGAGCCTCGCTTTCCTTCTCGAGGATCGCAGACTTGGGGAACGAGATTGTTATGTTAGCAACTAAGCTCAATTTTAATTCATATTTTTTTTAAATCAAGATGGAAAAATGTCATTTCCTAATTGTGGTATACTGTATACTGTTAAATACGTTTTTAGGCCACGTGTTCTAAAGATGGTATTGTGAGAATCTATGAGGCCGTAAATATAACAAACTTAAGTCACTGGACATTGATGGTAATTTCCCACGATTTACTGTACATTTCATTCTGAAGTTTACCCAGAAAATATAAACTGCAAGGTGGATGCATACTAAACTTTAAAGAGAATATTTAAGTACGGGTATATGTAATATCAGTATAAAAATGAAGGCATTAGTGCAGCTCGCACGAGGTTAGAATAGAGATTAATAAAATAGTATCAAAACAGAATGGAATAAAATGCAATGGAGTGAAGTAGAATGGATAATTTTAAGAAGAGGAGTAGAATGAATACAATAGAATGTGGAGAAAGTATACTCCAAAACACCCTAGTTCAAAATTTCCTGGATAATCTAAAATGGACCATTCCCCAATTAACCAAAATTTTGAACTCAACAAGTCTAGACAAAAATTATTTCATCATAGCTTGAAAGAGCATCACAAAATTAGTAATATTCCAAAGTTTCGTTGCGAAATGTTGTAAAATGCGGATAATATAGCCTTGTGAAGTTTCCAATTTTCAGTCATTTTAGATTACAAACGGGAAAAGGTTATACCACTTCTGTGCGTAATACAAAATGACCGAAAATTACAAACTTCGCAAGGCTACATGTATATTATCCGCATCGAAACTAAACTTTGGAATATTACTACTTTTGTGATGCTCTTTCAAGCTGTGATGAAATTTTTGTTTAGGCTAGTTAGATCAAAATTTTGGAAAAGTGGTAACCATTTCCCGTTTGTAATCTAAAATGACTGAAAATTGCAAATTTTGCAAGGCTATATTATCCGCATTTTACAACATTTCGCAACGAAACTTTGGAATATTGCTAATTTTGTGATGCTCTTTCATGCTATGATGGAATTTTGTCTAGACTTGTTGAGATCAAAATTTTGGTTAATTGGGGAATATGGTCCATTGAAATCGGATGTTTCATTGCCATTTACAATGATTGTATTATTTCTGTAGCATGAGATCAAATGTAAATTGAGCTGCAGTTGCATATCCTGGAATCCTTCAAGGTGAATAAAAGTTCTTGTTTAACAAAATTAGTGATTTCAAACCTTGCAAATGTAAGGAAGGTTTTGGTATAAAGGGTTCGTAGCTGTTTCTGAAATCCTTGAAAGTCGTTAAAATTGAATGTAGGTTTTTTGAAAAGTCTGCAGTGAATTGTATGAAAAAGCAAGAAAGTCTTTAAATTCTTTAGTGAGTAATTTGATTAAGTACGATTCGCTAAATAATAAAATGGATGGAATACAGTAAGATTGTCACAAAGTGAGAAAGAGAGTGCAGGAGAAAATTTATCAATAGCTGATTGCAGGGTATAATTCGTTATTCGTCTGACACTCAGGCTAATTGCAGGGTGTTAGCCAGAGAAAAAACGTTTTGTCCGTTAAACGTAGATTGGGAAAGTTTTTTTGACCGACCAAAGTCCTTGTGTAGGAATAAATAGTGTTTTTTCCAACATGTTTCTCCTCAGATACAAACAATGGTAGCTTGGTTTTGTACATTTCATTTCCGGTGAATGAACACTGAAAAATGCTCCCGATGGTACTTCATTTTGTATATTTCATTTCCGGTGAATGAACACGGATGCACACCGATTATACACTTTGTTTTGTACATTTCATTTCAGTGAATACACACCCAATATGAGTGAAATGCGATACATTTTGAGAAAATAGTTAGTGGGAAAAAGTTAAAAAAAAGTTATTTGATATAGTGTAATAATATAAAATCAAACGCAACGCACTTTCTCATCAGAAAAAAATTGAAAATCTTCCAGTAGACCCAGTTGGGAAAGCCCCTTAGCTACTTCAATTGGGAAGAGTCCGTCAAACGGACAGTATATGGCTAGCTAACACCCTGGATTGCCTCCAAAAGGTCTTTGAGAAAGGTTGAAAATCTTGGAAATTTTTTGTCTTTGAGATTACGACCCTGTAATATATGTTGTGGTTCGTATACGACAAATAATATGGGAATTCTTGCTTTCTTAGAAACCATGCTCCAATGATCGCTGTGGGTAGTGATGATGCTAGTCTTTCCTCTGGAGGAAAAGTACAAATACAAGAATATAATGAAGCTTCTAGGTTTGTCATAATGATAGTTTAGTGAGTAGTGCATTTTCCAGTTGGAAAACGCGTTTGTTTGTTTGGGAAAGTTATTTGTTATATACAGGGCTTCAAATTACTGTCGGACATCGGACAATGTCCGACTAAATTTGGCAAATGTCCGAGCAAAAGTAATTTTGATCGGACATTGGTCCGATCACAAAAAAAATTGTCACATTATACATTTTTTTGCTGTGACAAAATCCGATTGCAAATTCACTCAATTTGCATTTTGCAATAAAATTTACAAGGCGTTCTACCATTTAATTTTACTTAACGTTGCGCCGGAATGGCATACATACTTGTCTCGTGACTTATATATATCTTGTGACGTATATATGTCCGACCAAATTTAGTGATGTTGGTTTTTGTCCGACCAAATTCAAATTATGTCCGACCAAAATTAAAAGTGATCGGACAAATGTCCTGTCCAGTCAAATATTTATTTTCAGCCCTGTATATAGACTATATAATAACTGTATGGTATTTAACATTATAAGATCTGGACAAAATATCTTGTTTTTAAACATGAATTGCTGAAAAGTTAGTTATACTTCAGCTCGATAAGTTAAGTAAAAAGGGTCAACTTTTTCAGGAAATGGCAAAGAGTCGAAACGTTAAATGCAATCACAGAACCTGTACACGATGTGGAATTTGCTCCAAATCTTGGAAGGTGATATAATTTATTTTATAATTTATTTTATAACTGCCCACTTTATATATAATTGGTCGTTGAAACAGTGAAATAGTACTGAACAGTAAGTAGAATGGAACATAGTCAGAACCAGTTCCACAGTTAATAACTTAATAGTACATTAGGAGTTCGAATTTTATTTGTCGTTTTAGATCATATCACTTGCTAGGAATTGCTTGCAACGATGTCAAGATTGCCACACTTGAGCCGCTTGGGTATGTTTAGAAAAAAAGTTTAGCCTCTTTACTCTCTTGACGGGTTCTTCAGCGGATTGCTCTGGGCCGTTTATCTATCATATACATCTATATTAATTACGTAATGTGGTCAGTTTTGATAAGCTTCCGTGTGTTTCTTATAGAAAAGAAATTACGTCATCTGCAAGATTCGCTGTCAATATGGTTGCTCAATTTAAAGAACATAGCAAGGTTTGTGTTATAAACTCAGGGTCGAACAACTGACATATTGTCAGATTATTTATAATCTTCAGTACAGTGCATTGCTATTAAATTTATTAAACTCCTTCGATAAACAACGGAACATTTTTTTATTCCCTCCCCCACAAAAAAATCAAAATCAACGACATAAGTAACAAGAATATATGAGACTGAAACTTCATTGATCATACACCAAATGTCTGAGAAAATGTCAAAAAAGTGTCCTTGAATTAATTTCAAAATTTTGTCATGGCCGGATTTTGAGGGGAGGTGGGCACCTTCTGAGATCGTTTTGCACCTCCCCTGAGAAGTCATCCACCTCCCCTCGGGAAAGGTTAAATGATAGATCAAAGTGAAAATTTTATGCGTTGCTTAGAGTCTACTGTCTGTCTGATAACTATTCATCATCTCTGTATCAAGTGCTCTTTTAATGGAATATTTCAAAATAAACTTTGTACAGGTAGTAATGTAATGAAGAGCAATATTGGACGATTCATACAGTCACAATTCATAAATACACTGATACATATGTACAGTACATGCATGCGTCATATAGTTGACTTTAATAGGGGGCTACATTCTACGTCCCATGGGGGTCGTGGGCTAGACGCTGCACCTCCCCTAAATATATTACCACCTGCCCCAACATTTCCACTAAAATCCGACCTTGAATTTTGTGTATATTGTATACGCTGCAAGTGGTTTAGTGTTGATGAAGGAAAATGTTTGACATGTTTTACTAGGTATGGAGAGTTCAGTGGAATGTTACTGGAACCATATTGGCTTCGTCCGGTGACGACGGTAGTGTTCGACTTTGGAAAGGTAATGTTTCCCCTTATTAAAACAACCAATGCGTTTTTTCTCCTGGATTCATTGATGCCAAAGCTTTTCAAATTCCATTTTACTGAACAAGACTATAAGGCAATTTTCTACGCGAATTCAAGGTCCAAATTTTTAATTCCCTCGGTGATGAAATTACATCTCTGTATCTTTTGTCGATAGTTCAAAAGTTTGAATGCATTCATAACCAAGTTGTACAGTATACCTGTACATAACCAAGTTGTACAGTGCATTTTGTTGATGTTGTTTGTCATTTCAGTAAATGTGGTAAATGATTATTGCTAGAATTCATGCAGTTTTGCCTAAATTATAGAATACAGTACCTACCGCGACTGTAAATTATTGTAACAGCTTTGTTACACAGTTCTTTAATAGCTACCAGTCAAAGATTTTCAGAAATTATTTGGGGGGCGTGAGGGAGGATTGCTCTCTTATTAATGCGTCTTTATATTGGAAATATTTTTCAGCTAACTATCTTGATAACTGGAAGTGTATTGCTGTGTTGAAAGGCGATGGCAACCCTGCGGAAATCCTGGGATCTAGTGTACCAAGTGGCCTAATGAGTACTTAGATATTCTCGACGAAAAACAGTTTAGTAAAGATTGTCTGTTCCAAGAGTGCTTTGGTATAAAATACTGTTCATTTCCTGCCTGTTTTAGACACCGAACTTATCATTTGTTCAATTTGAATGATTTTAGTTTTAATATCCACTACATTCGGCTACTGGTCTAAAAATACTGTGTCAGGGAGCGGTCATTATTTATGGCGGGGAGTGGCACCAAAGAAAAATATTTTTCTTCGTAAAAATTTTGCTGATCCAATTATTAAAACCTCAAAAACATTTATCAAAATATCATTTAAAAAATAAATATCCACCCCTGGCCAAGAACATTACTATACAATTTATGGTTTCCGTGTTTGATGGCCTGATCCAAACACGCGGGAACGTTGCGAGAGTTAAAAAAAGCGCGCGAACACGAGCCGAAGGCGAGTGATTTTGCGAGCTTTTCTTAACTCGAGCAACATTCCCAAGTGTTTGGATCAGGCCATCCAAACACGGAAACCATAAAGTAATTGTTTTATAAAATAACAACAACACGATAGTCTTCCGTGTTTGGATGGCCTGATCAAACACGGGTTTCGACCAATCAGAGCACGCAATTATATACATGTCATTTTATAAAAAAGGATGTCACACATGTCCTTTACCACTTCTGTGACACGAGTTTGATAACTGCTTGACGTGCAATTTTCTGCAGTGAAAAGTTTCATGTTGTCTGCACAAGTACTTTCTTTGGAGACACCATTTGCCTCCTGACAAATCGAAAAATGATCGAGATAGTGACTCTGATTGATTGATATACATATTCTATTAACATACAACTGTTGACATCACTTATTAGTTTTCAATATTTGAGTGAGTCATGAGATTTTTATTACCCAACCCTTGAATTGTTTTCATTTACCCAACCTTTTACTACAAATTTTGTTTATCCAACCATTTTCTCTCCAGTGCCACCCCCAGTCAAAAACAATGACCAGTCCCTTAGTCTGCAAAATTTTGCATCCATTATTGATGCTGAGAAAATAAAGTCAGTCAAGCATTACTAAAAACCTGCATGGCATAACTGAGGGTCCAAATGTATGCAGAAATGCCTCTGTGTTCTTAGAATATCTTCAAACTTTACAGTATATAGAAATATACCAGGAAAATACATTGTGACATATGATCATCTCGAGCAATAGGTTTTTGTTTTAATCCGTTGGGAATTATGACTTGACCTTTTAGTAGTGGTTGATATTTGGCTACTATTTTACACAGTACATATTATTTAAACCAGTTTGTATCGAGGTCAGTGTGTTCCGCACAAGAAAAATTCAACCAGAGACAAAATTCAAAAACATTGAAAAATTGTCAGACCAAAATAAAATATTTCTGATCATTATCTGTACACATATAATTTCAGATCATATCATAATAAATGCTCCTCAAGACAGACTATGTTTTAATTATCTGCCCAATTAAGTTGAAATTTTAAAAATATAAATTTTCGAAGTGGTTCCATCCATATTATACCATTGGATTCTTCACCGATCTTGACCGCCATGTTGGTTATATCTGTTTGTTAAATCCATAGAGATTATAAAACAATAGAGTGGGCATTGCGGTAAAAATAGAGGGAGAAACTGAAGCTTCCTAATGGGGGCAAATAACGCTCTCTGATTGGTTAAAGCCTCGTTGCCCGGATGCAAGCCGCGATGTTTAGAAGGAGCGGGAAATTATTAAAATATTACAACTTCGAAAACATCGAATTTTTCCAGTTTTAGCATAGTTCAAGCAAGGACTAAATGCTCAAGATCAACAAGAATAGCTGGACTTTAATACAAAACAAGTTCTGCAACGGTAGAAATGTTTCAAAGTGCTTTTTTCTCGATGTTGAAGAGTGGTATTTTGCTCGTCACTTCGGCACGGTTTTTAATCATTTTTCACGATATAAAACGGAAATTCTCAATTTTTCGCCACAAATCAATGTACAACAGTTAGGACTTTTGATAAAACTAGGATTGAATAATTGAATTGTAGTGAAAAAAATAGATTTTCGTGGTTTTACATCCGAGTATAACTGAAATTTGCTCCCAACTAGCAAGCTTCAATTTGTCCCTTTCGTTTGCCCTGAATTTTCATGCAATGCCCGCTCTATTCTTTTATAATCTCTTTGGTTAAATCGTTGACAACAAAGAGTTGAATGAATGAATGAAGATCTTTATTACCTCAGGGTAATCCTTTCAGTGCTACAGTGAATACTGTTATCAACAGGAGCCCTGAAATTGAATATAAAGTCATCATAATAAAAATCAGTGTAAATTTTGGCAATTATAACACTTAACCGTGTCATCTTTATATTAGATTGAATGTAAATCGTTTCTTCGTTACGTTAATTTATGCAGAGTTTCGCTTCCAGCTATTTTTTTTAATTCGGTTCCGACCGTAACAGGAACTCGGGAAAATCAGAATTTCGGCTGGAACCATGAAGCAGGAACAAACCAAGTTCCCGACGCAGTCTGGGTAGGAAATGAATGTATTTCTTTTTAAACCGTTCGAACGTTTAGTCCGAGTTTCCTTTCGCAGTACTGAGCCTAAGGTATGGTTTCACCAACTTTGAAATTTAGGAAATGTATTCGTGAATAGTCGAAGCTGTCCGTTGTCTTCCAACAGGCAGTGGAAGAAAAGTTTTTTCTCTATACCTTTTCGTTCACATAATACACCGAACTCTTTTACCAGTTCTTTAATAACTTTCGAATCAAATCTCTCGTGAAGTTGACGACTGCGGTCACACAGAACGAGACTGAAAGACTCTTCTATTACTACAGTATGTACTTTGACATCAAACCTTCTGCCCTTTCGTAGTGGGCGGACGCTGTCGTTTGGACCAATTTCCTTTCGACCTTCAAGTTGTTCCGTAATATAGTATTCAACTCTTTCCATGGATGTAATTAAATAGCTTGACTTCTTACGTAAAACTTTGCATATTGTCTCATGCTTTGGCCGATGATTTCGTTTGCAAATTTTACCGCAATACGCAGTCGTAAAGCACTTTTGACATATTTTCGGCGTTTTCGTCGACAAACGACAATTTGAGCAATATGAAACGGACAAATTTAACTTATCACCGTTCTCGTTTTCTTTGTTATTGTGCTCTTCGTTATCCTGGAATTTAGCAGATTTAAGGGAATTGGGAGATTTGAAATGAGACTTCATCAAATCTATACTTTTTCCAAGCGACAATGGATGGACTTCATCGATCTGTACATTCTCCACAAACCCTGGACCAATATTATCATAAATTTTATTTTGTTCAATGACAGATGGGGGAAATTCTTTTCCTGCAGCTCGATATCCCATACGTACTCCTCCAGCTTTGTTGCGAAAAATTTTATTCATCGCTATATCGCACCATGAATTGCTCATGGACCAGATTCCCCACAAATCGTTGTCAAAAACATTGTTCTCACTGATATTTGCTTCAGAATTGACCATAAATATTCCAAATTCATTGCCAAAAATGCTATTACATATCAGCGTGACATCCGTTGAATCCAGCATAGAAATCCCTACGTCATAGTTGTAGTCAATATCACAATTAATCGCGATACACTTCGATGTTTTGGTTTCAAATAACCGTAACCCATCACGACCATTGTTGTACATGCGACTGCTTTTCACAATCAACGTTGCGCCTTCGCACACTCTTACACCATCTTCCTCATTATTATAAAAGGAACAGTCGACAACAAGCGCATTACTTGGTCCAACACATACCAGTCCAGCATCATTGCTGCCCGTAAAATTGCATTGTTCTGCACTCAAGTCCCCCTCGGTTGTTACGACAGACATTTCGCTATGATAAGAAATAAAGTTACAGTTAAGTATCTTGACGAATGAACCAGGAATACACACCAACTGACTGTTAATCAAATGGAATGACAGATTTGCAAGCATGCACATCAACAACTGAATGACATTGTCTGATTTCAAAGAAACAGAACAATCTTTTTTCGTACCAACTAGAATACAGTGGTTCCAAGGTTTGCCAAGTGTATTAGAATTTAAGATATATTCTTTTCATCCCAAAACCAAAATCTTTAACACACCCGTTTCTACTTCCTGTGAAAAAATCACTTTTTGCAGTTGATCTACAGTATCGCATACAAAAATGCGTTTCTGCAAATCAAAGAAAGATTCTTTAAATGGCAAGAAATCTGAGAACACAGCCCTGTTGTGATAAAAAGCTAAAGCAGCAGCTATTTCAGCACTGACTTTCTCATCCAAGCCATCAAGTGCCAGAGCTTTTCTAGCATAACCCTTCCAACAATCTGGGCGGCGTGTTATGTAATTATTTGCATCTTTTAAAGCATCTTCGTATTGTTTTAATTTTATATAAACAGTTGCACGGTTAGTAAGCAACAAGGGATTGAAAGCATTATTGCAATCTCGAGCCAAATCTATTGCAGAGGAATAGGCATCTAATGCTTCCTTGTAGCGATCCTCTTTGAAACGCTTGTTTCCATCCAACTTTAATTTCTCAACACTCTCTTTCAACTTATCTAAATCAAGACCACAAGGTTTTTCAGTCAGACGTTGAAGTGAAACAGAAGGAGGCATACAACATCGTTTAATCACGATCTGAATTGACTTTGGTAAAGGAATAAAAAGAGGGAACAATGAATTATTAGAAACATTCTTTTCAACCGTTTCATATCCTGCTAACGGTAGCCAGTCTAATATACGATACGCAAAGTTCAAGAGGCGTTTTGCTTCTTCCTGTTTGTGATTTGCACTCAAATGAACAGCACACTCGTAAAGAATTTTGGCTGTTTCAGGAAACCACACCGAGTCTAGACAAACAGAGTCAAAAGTTACTAACAGATTCTCCATATTTCTACAAAGATGATGACCATGCATAGAAAATTTAGACCACATATAGAAGTGAGAAGGACTTTTCGGTAAATCACAGATAGATATGTTTTGTTCTTCACCATTGTTTTCATCTGAACTTACAAAATTACTAGGTGAAAAACATTTAGAGAATGCGTAAGAAAGCATCCGCACAGCATCAATAAAACTCTCTGCTTTCGATTCAGGAGTAAGACTTTCCCACACTAGTTCCTGGACCAAACGATGGGTGCAGACAGAGTGCGCTCCGACATACGTGAAAAGTGAAAAGTCAGTCAACAGGTTTAGTACCTCACGGCAACCCAATGGCGATAATACGCATTTACGATACTCAACGTCTTCCACTTCGGGTGTCCCAACGTTGATTAATTCTTCTTCGATCTCATTTCCATCGAAAAATGAACAAGCACTCATAAATCGAACAGCAGCTTGACCATCCGGGCTCTTCTTGATATACTCTATATTGATAAGCCATGTTGTGTGAACGGCGAGACGTTCTGATGAGTCGTTACCTGCAGCACGTGCTCGTTGCCGCTTGAGCAATCGCAAACGCTCAGTTTTATATTGTTTCAGATACGTAGAGAAATTGCAACGGCGTATTTGAATATAAGCTCCTGCTTGTTCCAAAGCAAGTGGCAGCCTCCCCAGCTCGTCACAAAGGCATTGTGCGTCATTTTCAACATTTTTATCACGAACTACTTTACTTCTTGAAAAAAGAAATTGCTTTGCATCTGCAGATTGGAAACATTCCAGTTGGAAACAAGAATCGTCCTCAAACACTGAAACTTCATTAAAAAGTCGGATTGGATTTCGTCTAGTCAACACAACAAAATGTCCAAAGAAATTCTCTTCTGAAGGAAAGGTAAGAAATTTCCTCATATTAGACGAAAGTTCCTGTTGATCCAAGCAGTCGAGGACAATAAGACTTGGATCATTTGTAGTGCCAATTTTTCTCAGGGTATTTGACAAAGTTAAATCAAATGTACCAGGTATTGCCTTAAGTTTTGATGCGATGTCGTTGACCGTTTTGTCAAGAACCTTGTCATCTTCAGCAGAGAACCAATAAACACCTCCCTTGTAGAAATCCTTCATCTGATGAGCATACTCGGAAACTAAGCTTGTTTTGCCAATTCCACCCAAACCACATACTGCTGCAACGCGAACTTTCTTTTCGTTCAACGTTCCCTCAACTTTCAAAATACGCTTAAGATCCTGGATTTCTTCTGTTCGACCAGCAAAATAACCATTTCGTGGGGGGGCACTGAAGACATAGGGAATTTTTTCCTCTTCTTTAATATAAAATCTTGAAAGTTCAGTCGTAAATTTCTTCTCAAGATTCTTTATCCCTTCAGAATTTTTTTCTACTTTTATTCGCAGATCGTCTATTTGCTTACTCAAGTTTGATTTTATGTCAGTGACATTCGAAACGATTGTGATCATCTGCAAAACGATAAATATTTTACCATAAATTCTTAAATATTTAAATTGTCGTTACAGTATATGTTTTTAGAACCACTGAGTATTTTAATAAAATACAAAACAAGTGAAACTCCAAAAATCGAAGTTTTTGGAGTTTCACTTGTTTTGTATTTTAGTATATGTTTAGATAAGAACTTTGGACAACTATTCATGTTTTAGCATAAAGTCTAACAATTTGCTGGGGAACTATAAACAGTTGTGCCACTTCGTCCGACTATACAGTACAAAAACTGTAGGATTGATTAACTCGAACAAAACAAAAAGAATGTATAATTCTAAAATTCTAATCCTTAATTCCACGATCAGCAGATACTACAATTTTGTCATGTTAAAATATGAATGTGATACGAGTCTTTTTGTTCAATATTGCAAATGTTGTAAACTGGATAACTTTCATAGATACAATTGTTGTGCCTCTTTAAGTAAAATTTACCTGTGCAAGTTGGAGTGTTATGTGTGCCCTCCCCCTTGATTGCAAATTAATTCTCTTTTCGCGAGATGAAATCGTGAAAAACAGTTCATCCTGCTAAAGGTAAATTAAGCTGGCTACTTAAATTTGGTTCAATTTTTGGATTATATAACAGAGAATAACTAATTTACACAGAATATGTAATAGGTGGAGTCTGTGTTGTTTTGTTTTGTCTATGGGTTACATTATATGTTTGCTTCACTCAATTTTCTTCAACAAAATTAAAAGCACTTAGTCTTAGTATTAACATACACCTACAACCAAATAAAATAATTTACAAACCTGGCCTTTCTCTAACTCCCAAGTCTTGACAGCTTCACAAAGTTCATCCAATTCACTTCTGAGTAATGTCAACATTTCAATGTCCACAGATTGACCAAAACACAACTGGAATCCTAAAATAAAGTAAATACAGTACTTATATATACCCTCTTTCCAATACAGACCACTGACAACAGTTTCCAATATCGATCGGGACATACATAATTCTCATTATGACTTAACCATTAAAGACTGCAGACTGGCAGTCAAGAGCTTGTACAATAAATAAATGTTTTGAACCATTATGAGCTCTTCAATAATGTAGCCTACATGTAAAACTCAATAATATAATTGGTTTTGCTTAAATTCTCATAAAGTTCTCTTCAAAATTCCTTTATAAAACGGACACCTAATATCTAATTCAGACATATATCCCTCTCCTTCCCTGTGCTAATTTCTGGCAAGTGCCTTAGTTTGCTACAGGTATTGGTTTATTGGGAGTAATAAAATATGCAGGTGACAAACAAGGACCGCATTTTTGCATAAACTTTTAGTAGACCAACTCTTCAAACCAAGTATTGTATTAACTATGAACTATTAAATTCCAAATCTGAGATGCTGAATCTCAAGGTTGAATACCAGATTCAAATATATTCTAATTTCCCATAAAATATTCTAAAAATTCCCAAATATAGAGCCCACAGGGACCAGTTGTACGAAAGGCCAGATACCACTATCCACCGGACAGTGGTTTTTCCAATCGTAAAAATGTTTAAAAAGCTATAAAATTACGGATGCAGACCAGTTGCGGACACTTACGAAATATTGGGGGGGGGGGGGCAACATTTTCAACATGTACGTATGCCAAAGGGGTTTCGATGTCCGTTATTTAATATGAGTCACGTTATATGGGTGTGATCGTATGCTTGTCACTTGCTCCTAAACAATGCTTGTAAATTGTGATATTTAGTACCAGACTTTTATACTGTAGGTCTTTCAAAATTATTGGGGTAAATCTGAGGGCATAAAATATCTGAATATATTATTAAGCATTACCTTTCCAGCTATTCAACTCATCACACAATTTCTGTTCATCGTCAGGAGCGAGATTCACATTCTTAATTAAATTTTCCATATTTTGAAAAGCATCAATAAAATTTTGTTCTGTCCATTCTGCAAAGTTGCAATGTGCCCACTCATTTCTGATGTTTGACCGAACTTTTCTTGCATAAGCAGCAGCTCTTGCAAATGGTGCAGCTTCACCTATTACTGATAAAACTGCAGATGTATCCATTGTTACGTCAAAGCCTGTGAACTTGGACATGAATGGTTGAACAAACAACTTTGCCAAAGACAATGGATCCTTAACTGCATAATCAAATGCACGAGGTGATCCAATGGCATCATTGTTGTTGATACTTTTATAGTTGAGGTTCAAAGTTGACGGGGGTAACTTTTTCTGGTGTCCACCAAAAACTTGTTTGTCGATTTCGGTCGGTGATTGACATAAAACTTGATGCCACTTTGGTATTTCAGTTGCAAGAATATTTCTCAGAGCAGGAGTGAGCACTTTGGCCAAACATATACCAATAACAACCCATCTTCTTTCGTCGTTTGATATAGAGGTTGTACTATGGGTTGTAATTCTGGCAATAGCCTTTACTAATCTGCAAAAATAAACCCAAATTATAGATTGAATGATGTTCTGTAGAATATATCTCAGAACGATATTGCAGTGGCAAGCATTGCCCCACAAGTTCAATTGTGCATCAGGAATGGACAGCTCTTCCAATGAGGGCACTTTACTGCAACATCAACTTTTGTGTAAAAATGAAGTTCTGGATGATCTAACTTTCCACCAGTAGCTATATTTCAGGAGCTTTCAGGGACTTTCTCAGTATATGAACAGCCATTATATTTTCAGTTAGAATTAAGGTTAAATTTTACGATCAGGTCAGTGCATCTGCCCTTCGCTCATTCATACACTGAGAAAGTGCCTACGTATTTATAAGGAATCAGGTATTAATTGCCGGGGACAAAAGTCCTGTTCCTGATTCAAGATCAAAAGTCCTGTTCCTGATACGTTGAACGCGGTGGTTCCAACTCCACTACACAAATTATAATTAGGTCATCTTTAAAAATGTGAATACCCAGCCTACATGTAGGTCCTATCATTCTGACTTGTTTTACGATAGTTTGAAAACACTGGCAGCAATATTAACCCATCGCGTGCCAATGCTCTCCCTGCGCGCGCCTTGCTAAATAAAACTGTCTGGTTTTAGACTGAGGGGGTGCGATGCAACTCAATAGGTTGACTGGAGGCTCTTTTCTTGACAAGTAAAATCGTCTGGTATTCAGTAATAGAAATCGCGTAAAATAATAAAGTAGGGCGCAATGCAACTCAATGGGTTAAGCCATAAGTTGCATTGCGTTGCATCTGTTTAATGCCAGACTCGTCATTGATTCGTCAAAGGGAGAGTGCTAGCACTCAATGGATTAACAATTGATGCCTAGCTGTTGCCACACTGTAGCTTCGTTTTATTAACAACGGCCAAGACACACACCGACCCCCAGCCTCAATCTACATTTATTTAGTTCCCCCAGAAAACTATTTTAATCTTATTAACCATGTTTTCATAGGTCTAGATGGAATATCTAAAAAGATATCTCAACTCTCAAAATGCACAAAATCAAGCCCCAGAGGCTGGGGCGTAAATCCTGGGGGTGGGGTTTGGGGGGCTCACCCCCCAAAGTTCCAAATGGACAGTTTTGTTAGGCAAAACTCAGTAATTCGTCAATCAGGCGAAAAACAAACAGGTGTTTTGAAGAGAATTTAAAATTTTGCATTTTTGGGAAGTTAAACGTAAAAAATACGACATTACGAACTTTGTGCTGGTAGCAATATAAAAGTTAACAAAAATGAAGAACTGCCATTTGCAGTAGTCAGATGTGAGTTACACTTTTTCACTTTCTACTGTTACATATTTTACTGTTTAAGGTTAATTTTCATTACCAAGTAGCTAGTACACGATGAACGCCTTCAAATATTATGATCTATTGATATGGACACGGCAGGTACAAAACGCAGGTTGGGAATTTTGTAGATTGGAATTGTGCAGGTTGCCAGGAATTTTGCAGGTTGATTATGCAAATTTAAAATTACATCACTATAAACTATTCTAGTAATTTAATTGTGTACTTAATGCAGTCTGACTCCTTGTCCGCGCTTTTGATATCAGCCTATCCTGCTGCCATGTTCCTAGCCTTTGCTCTAAGGAGTGGTCATCACCCCGTGAAAACATTCAAAATGACCAGATTGGCTTGAACCTACAGGGGGACATGTGTCGCGTTGTGAGGCATCTACAAGACGTTGCGGCGGTTCAGAAAATGCCGGAATGAGATTTCTCTCCTCTGCCCCAATTACCGTATCATTAGTCGAGAATGTTAGTTAACGTTTAACAACATTCTAATATAAACTTACATTAACCTTGTTCCTAGGTCTGTACATGCTATGATGCTCTTCTCGTGGTCTTGGAACACACTCTAAGCCACTTTGTAACCACAGCTTCTGAAGCTTATGTGCTAGCTTGTACACTGTAGCTCTAAGCAGAATTGAACCTGCAAAATACTGTACACTTCTACTTCCTATAAATTAATATTTCGTTTTGTGGGGTGATGGCCACTCCAACAGGATCTAGGCTGGTATCAAAAGCGCTGACAGAGACTGCAATAAGCACACAATTAAATCACTAGAACACTTTATAGTGGTGTAATTTTAAATTTACATGATCTGAACCTGCAAAGTTCCTGGCAACCTGCAAAATTCCAACCACTTTAGTTGGTTCTTTCTTGATGTATGAGGAACCGAAATAAGTACTGGTCTGTAAATAGCCATATAGCATAAATCTTATCATTCCGCATTTTAGGGTTTAAATTATACGAACTATCATGAACCAATTATCGTTATGTTTGAATTTGTAAATTTGTAATGTGTATATAATATTGTTTATCTGGACAAAATTTCTGTTTTATCTCATTGCAAGTAGTACTTTTAATTATGAGTAATATATAATACTTAGTGTGGGCATGGCATTTTTGACCACACCCTTTTGTGAGGCAAAATGAGTCCACCCCCCCCCCCCCCC